GGGGGGGGGGGGGGGGCGATAACGCTGAGTTTTGCACTGTCTGCCAGAAAAATCCCCCGCCTTGTCCCAAGCCGCCTCCAAGAGCCGTTCCCCAAAGTGTTTCTGAACAGTCGCTCCTTTTTCTTTCCCCGTTTATCTGCAGGAGCCATCAGCTGAAACCCTGTTCCCCCACAGGGGGGGGAAGCCCTCACCGGAATCCCGGCGGGCAGCTTTGGGTTACGGGCTGTGTTAAGGGGGGGGCTGGGAATAAAAGCCTTGTGTGAGCCCGTGGGATTTGGGGGGTACCGCAACCAATTCGCCTTCCCCGGCGTGTTTACATCAATGCACCAGCCAAGTGGGATACGGGGCTGGTGGAAGTTGGGGTGTCCCCATAAAGCAGCCGGGTCTGGCGCTAGTGGGGTTATTTTTTGGTTTCTTCTGGTTTTGGGGGGGCAAATTATGTTGGTTTTATTGTTTTTCCTCAGGAGCTTCAGGGCTTCTTTCCCCTGCGCCAGGGCAGCCGGGCGTCCCACCATCCCCAGCTGTGGGTTTGTGTCTGCATCCCCCCTCCCCACCTGGGATGACCCTGAGGTGCCCCCAAAAAACGGGTGCTGAGTCCTGGGGTGGCCGTGACCAGGCAAAGCTCCCGTGGCAACCAGGTGCTGGCACCCCCCTGGTCCTTTTACCTCCTGCATCTCCATGGCAGGGTCTTGGTCAGCTAAGGGATGTCTTTAATCCTTGGATTAAGCTTGGCCTTAGATCTGCTTTACCTGGGGCCAGCCCTGTTCCCGGTGGGGTTTAAATCTGTTTGTCCTGAATCACTGAGCCGGGATGCTCCGGTGAGTCGGAATGCCTGGGCTGTGCCAGCCCATGGCATCACTCGGCCACGGCTCGTGGTCCCCCGGCCACAGTGGGACCTGCCCATCCCCTTCCACAGCCATTGCCGCTCCCACCCCGGCAGAGCAGCACCCCAAACGTCTCGGGGTGTCCCTGAAGTGCTGCTATTTAAGGCTTAAATACCATCGCCCAGAAGGATTAAAATGTTAGGCTTAAACTCGAATTTTATTAGTGCTGGTTTACAGGGTGGAGGGCTTGCACCGGTTTCACCCTCCCCCCACGATTGAGGGGTGCATCCCAAGTTTCGGGGGGATTCGGGAGGTGTCCCCGTGGGATGCCATCGCCTTGGGATGACACTTAGCAGGGAGGGGGCTCAGGCTGGCCGGGGCGATGGCAGCAGCTGGCTTAGCCCCCTCCAAAAATCATGGGCCCCCACCTTGGCACTGATGGTGCTAGTGAAGATGGGGCTTGGTGGCATTTGGTTTGGGGGTGCAGCTCCCCAGAAGGGGAGAAGGCCCGGTTGGCTTCACGCTGGTGCCCTTGTGGGCTGCTCCCTTGCTGGGAGCTACTGGGAGGAACTGGAGCATGGAGGATGCTCATTTTGGGCTATGCCATCATATCCCAACCCACATCCTAGAATTACCCGGCTCTGCCCCACTTGCCCCCCAGCATCCCCCCTCCCATGTGTAATTAGCTGCATCTCATGGTGCCAACCACTAATTAGGAGAAACTCGTCAGGCAAAGGCTGTAACGAAGCTCCCATGTGGCTCTCACGGGGACAACCGGGGGAATTTCCATGCAGGCAGCGGAGGCTGGATCCAGGTTTGGGTTGTTATTTATTTTTTCCTCCCTTCTCCTGTGCTGTCAGCATTTATTTTAATTTTAACAATTAATTGCTGAGCCTAAAGAAGGATGAGCCTGTGGGAAACACCTTTCATTTGGCTTGATTTTTTTTTTTTTTAATTTTAATTTATTTATTTTTGTTAGTGACTTCATTTCCTTGCAGCAGATGCATGAGGATTTCCTCTGGAGCAGGAAAAAGCTTTATTTAATGGTGTTTAGCATCCTCTGCTCCTTCCCCTGCTCCTTGCAGGGTTGATCCCTCTCTGATTCGGGATGGAGTTGGGATCTGCAAGGGAAGGGGGTGATGCCAGGCATCCCGTAAAACCTCTAATAAATCTTTTCAGGGGATAGCGGAGGATCGATGCTGCAGGGGTATCTAGGCAGATGCCTTGGAGCATCCCCACAGGGGGAATAGGGCCCCCAGATTGCTTCTTGGCTGGGATTTTTGCTGCCTGGTGACCCCAATGCTCCCCCTTGGGCAGGTCCCCCTGATGATGAAGAGGAGCGGGATGTGCTGGTGGCTCGTCACTGTCCTGGGGGTGAGTACAGCCTCTTCCATCCCGTCCCACCCCTCTGCACCTCTGCTATCGGGTCCTCCGATGCTCAAACCCATCCCAGCTTCACCGCCCCACGGCCACAGTGGGGCATCCCAAAATGTTTCCCACGCAGAAGCTTGCAGCAGCTCAGCCCTGAGGAGATGTTTTATTTGGGCCAAGGGTGGGGGGTTTTTCCCCCAAAAATTCTTCCTCCTCCTTTTTTCCCCATTGTTGAAGCTTCTGCCAGGGCAGGGGCAATAGGGAGTGCAGCTTCTCCCTTGCTGCTGCCCCTGGGGCCACCGCGGTGTCCCGTGGCTGGGAGATGCTCTTGCCATGGGCCATGCGGGTACCCCAGGGGCTGGGGCTGCTTCCCAGGGGGGCTCCACCTGAGCCAGGGTCACCATGGGTTCGTGTTGGCCGTGGTGAGTTTGCCACAGGTGACGGGTTTGCATCTGCCGTGGTGGTGCAGTGGGTTTGCACCCATCGCATCACTTGCGACACGTTGTCATCCACCATGGAGCAGGTGATGAGTTTGCACCCGCCGTGTCGCTGGGGATGGGTTTGCATCCCTCCCAGGGCACGCAGCGAGTCTGCACCCATCATGTCACCGATGAGGGTTTGCATCCACCACGGTGCATGCGATGGGTTTGCACCCAGCATGTCAGTGGCGATGGGTTTGTGTTGGCTGCGGTGCCTGCAACAGGTTTGCACCTATCGTATCACTTGTGACATTTTGGTGTCCACCGTGGTACATGTGATGCGTTTGCATCCACCACGGTGCAGGTGACGGGTTTGCATCCTTCGTGTCACAGAGGGTGAGTTCGCTTCTGCCACAGCGCACACACTGGCTTTGCACCCATCGCGTTGCTGGTGATGGGTTTGCATCTGTCGTGGTTCCTGCGGTGGGTTTGCACCCGTCGCATCACTTGCGACACGCTGGCATCCACCACGGAGCAGGCGATGGGCTTGCACCCATCATGTCGCTGGGGATGGGTTTGCACCCGTCGCAGAGCACGCAGTGAGTTTGCATCTGTCATAGCGCATGCGATGAGTTTGCACCCACCGTGGTGACATCCACCACGACGCACGCGCTGAGTTGGCATCTACCACGGGGCAGGTGATGGGTTTGCATCCATCCTGTCACTGGTGATGGCTTTGCACTGGCTGTGGTGCATGCGGTGGGTTTGCACCCATCACATCGCTTGTGACACGTTTGCACCCGTCGTGTCACAGGCGATGGGTTTGTACCCGTCGTGGTGCACACAGTGAGTTTGCCACCATCATGTCACTGACAGTTTTCATCCGCCATGCATCTGCCATGTTGCTGGCGATGGGTTCTCACCCAGCGTGTCTCTGGGGACGGGTTTGTGTCTGCCGTGGTCCACGCGAGCTCTGCGTCCATCCTGTCACTCGTGACGGGTTCCCTCTGCCGAGCGCCCCCCGCTTCTCCTGCAGGTGCTGAGCGGAGCCAGCGCGGGGGCTGCGGGCTGTGGTGCTGCCGGCGCGGACGGGACGCCGGGATGCCTGCCTGGGGAGGAGCCCGCGGGGGTAAGCTGCGCCCACCCGTGGCACATCCACCCGTGGGGAGGGCGCAGGATGCGGCCGTCGCTCACCTCCCTTTCCTGCCACGCAGGCCTGCGGCTCGGCGCAGGGGCCCGTGGGGACGTGCCGAGCTTGTCCCCCCGGCACCTTCTCGCCGGGGAACGTATCCTGCTCCGCTCACACCCGCTGCCGGGCCGGGAACAGGATCCTGGTGGCACCGGGGACGGCGGTGACCGACAGCCGCTGCGGAGCCTGCCTGCCGGGGTGAGCCCAGCCTGGGGTGGGGGGGATGCTGCAACCCCCCGCCCCTCTGCTGGCCCCGATGCCACTCGTGGATCATATCCTGACCCTCCCTCTCCCACCCCGCAGGTTTTACAGCCCTGAAGGGGAGAGGGAGCCCCGGGGCCGGTGCTTGCCCTGTGCCGTAGCTCCCCACAGCACCTCGGGGTGCCCAGGTGGGTGCTGGGGTTGGAGGTGTCACCCCGGTTTTGTGGGTGCTGAAAGAGCTCGTGCCGGCGTTCGAGAGGAGGCGTGATGTCCTGCCAGGGTGTGGCAGCTGAGAACGCCTCCGCTCACCACATGAGTGGTTTCTGCTTCCCTGGGGGCCAACCCTGCAGCGGGGCTCAGGGGGAAATCGGGATTTAATCCCAACAAAACCCTTCTCTGAGGCTGAGCTGGTGCCTCCCCCCAGGCCGGCGGCGAGCCCGCAGCCCTGACACCCCGGGCTGGCCGGTGAGGACCAATGGCACACGGGTGGCCTTGATGGGGGATGAAGAGGAGGAAGACGAGGCGGCGGCAGCGCAGGCAGCCGTGCTGACCATCGTCCCCATCTTCTGTGCCATGGGCTTGTTGGGCATCCTGGTCTGCAACCTGCTGAAGAGGAAGGGCTACCACTGCACTGCCAGCAAGGACCCCCAGCCCGGCGGCACCGGTGAGCCCCCGGTTGTGCCACGGACACCTTTTGGTGGTCCCCCACATCCATCTTGTCTCGCTCAGCCCATCCACAGAATCCCAGAACCATTCAGGTTGGAAAAGCCCCTTGGGATCAGCGAGCCCAACACTCAGCCCAACTCTACAAAGTTCTCCCCTACCCCACATCCCCCCACAGCTCATCTAAACATCCGCGTGGCTTCTGGTCCCCGTTGTCCCCTGACAGCCTGCTCATCTTTGAAGTCAGGGGGGGAGGGGGGGTGTGTTTATCCCCCACCCCCCAACTTCTGCTTCCAGGTCCCAGCTCCATCTACCAGCTGGAGGATGCCAACGAGGACACCATCGGGGTGCTGGTGAGGTTGATCACCGAGAAGAAAGGTCGGGGGGGTCTCTGGAGGGGGGGTGACATGGGCTAGACCCCCGTGACCCCCCCATCATGCTCTCCCTCCACCCCCATAGAAAACGCTGCGGCACTGGAGGAGCTGCTGAAGGAACATCACGGCCAACAGCTGATGCCACCGGGCTGCGTCCCCCCAAATAAGTAAGGACCCTCCCCCCAAGATTGCACTGAGGAACCCCCTGTGGTGGGATCAACCCCACACTGATGGCATCTCCCCCC